GGGGAAGGAAGTGGGAGGGCTAGGGGAAAGGATAGAAGGGAATGGGATTAATATGAGAAAATGGAAAAATAAGAACAAAAATCTTTATAAATAGGGAGGACTGGAGGGGTTGAAGGGAGGGCTGGGCAAGGTTGAAAAATAAGAACCAAGAGAGACTATGTAAAGGTGCAAATTTCCAATGATGAATGTCATTCTATTGTATACCTAAAATGTGTCAATGATTAGAATGAATAATCGATAATGCAAAATAGGAAGAAAGTGTCCAAAGGGGTAGGGGTAGTGGGAGGGGCAGGGGAAAGGAAAGAAGGGAAAGGGAAAAAAATGATGAGAAATGGAAAAAATGGAAATAAAGTCTTTGTAAATAGGGAAGGGTGGAGGGCGTGAAGGGAGGGCTAGGAATGGGGAAAAAATAAGAACCAAGATGCATCATGTAAAGGTACAAGTTCCCAATGAGAAATGTAATTGTGTTGTATACCTACAATGTACCAATAAAAGAATTTAATACAAAAAAACCATACTTTTAACTTCAGGAATAGTAATTCATAGTCTTATAACCACATCTTTCATTTTTTTTGGTACATTTCAGATAATGATAGCATTCATCACAGGGAAGTTGTACCTGACCTTGATATATCTTGATTCGTTTTTTCCCCCAACCCCCTCCCTTCCCTCAACTCCTTTTCTCCTTATTTACAAAAGTTTTCATTCCATTTTTTTCCCCTTTTCCCCTTCCCACTTCCTTTGTTCCCCTTCTGATTTGAACATTTTCTTCCTATTTCACTATTATACATTTTGGTCTTTATTTACCCTTTGGGTTTCTCACACTAGTCCTATACCTGAATCCTCTGGTACTTATATTCAAAAATGGGGTTTAGCTACAGTCTATCTGTGGGAGTGCACTTAAATCTGTCTTTACTCCTTCCACCCACAGAAAAGATGGGGAGCCAGGAAGCTACCTGGGTTGGCTTTCTGTCACTTTAAAGAATACCTGGCATGGGGTACTTACAAAGCAATGAAGTGATTGTGGGTACCCCCCCCCCATAGTTCTGCAGGTTCAAGTCAACCAATCAGTAGTCCCATTGGTTTGGGCCTACACTGGTGGTGGCATGGGATAGTGGGAGTCAGAGTGAGTGGTCATGTTTAGAGGCAGGAAGCAAGGGACAGGAATAGGACCCCAGGGTCCTTTTTTGAGTCATCAACCTAATGGCCTCCTTAGAAGTCCTCAACTCCTCTCAGTAGCACCACCCTGGGGAGCAGATATTTAACACAGGGCTTTTGAGGAGATACTCATCCAAAACCTAGCACCACCTTTAGTTGTTAGCAGAACTTGCCTTCCTAAGAGAAACCAAGTGTTCCCAAGAAAGGGATCCAGTGTCCTGCATCAAAGTATTTCCTAACTCAAATGACTCTCAAATAGACAACTTCCTTGAGAATTTAAAATGAGTTACATACCCCTCTGTAGTCCCAGTCAAAAGACCAGCAGCTGCCTTCTCTGGGAAAGGAATAGTGCATTAAAAGGTTCTTTCTTTCCTTGGATTCAAGAGTAACAATCTTGGCATAAAGACTATAGTTGAAGACATTTTTTCCATTACATATACTTGATCCTTTACGGGCTACTGAGGCTTTCTTTGTGGGGTGGGGGGGCAATCTCCTGCTCTGCAACTAAATCAGTATAACTCCACATGGAAGCTCACAGACTATCTCCAGGATATCTGCAATATAGAAATAAATTCACTTGTGTCCCTCAACTAGAAACAGTTGGATATAAACCAGAGTTTTTGCAAAGAGAACATGATTTAAAATCTCTATGTGGGTGAAATGTAAAAATAGAAATACAAGTCTCTAATATTCAAACTTTTAACTCTCAGCTATGAATTTTCATATTACTGAGGTTTTCAAAATCTAACCTGGAAGTCAAGGAGAGACTAGGACTATGTGGTTGATATCTTGTGATACACAGTAGGCCTCTAACTTCATAATGGATTCTTCTGCCTTCTTTCAACACACATCCTTTTGTTTTTTCTGGATTCTTTTTGTGCATTTATAGAATCAATCCTGGCATGAGGAAAGAAATATCTGGACTTACATTGTATGAAAGCCTTTGCATTTCTAGAGTAATAGGGGTCAAAATCTCAAACAGTCTCATCAAACTGTTCTTTGGACCTTGATCTATAAGGGTATAAGGCATTATTCTTCTAAGAATAAGACAAATGATCTTGGATTCATACTTGTGTGTGTGTGATTTTACAATGTTATGTTGCAGCACATTGGACCCCAAAACAAAACTTTCATGTGCTCTTTTAATGGCATTTAAAAAAAAAGATTGCCTAGCATGCACAAGGCCTTGGATTCAATCCCCAGTGCAGAAAAAAAAGTTGTCCACTTAAGTGACTTCCTGACCAATAGTAGGCTGAAAAGCAATGGCCTACCTCATGTTCGTATCTTAATCCCTACAACCTGTCAATATTGTTTTACCTTTCCATAGCAGCATGGGCTTTGGAGATACGATCAGGGTCTTGATATTGTGAGATCATCCACGTGAGGCAAATTGCAAGGTCCTTGTAAGTCAGAGGCAGGATGGTTAGGGATAGAGCAGATGCATCAGTGGAAGCAGAATTCCAAATGATGCAAGGCTACAGACCAAGGACAACAGGCAGCCTCTGACAGAGGAACAAACAAGGAAACAGACTTTCCTCTAGAGCTTTCAGGAACTCCTCAGCTCTACTGCTGCATCCTGGACTTTTGACCTCCAGAATTGTAAGATAATCTGTGTTTTATGTCAATAAGTTTGTGTTTGTCACAGCAGCAATAGGAAAGCAATACACCTTCTACTCAATCATGACCCATAAACTGGAAAAATACTTTGCCCACAATGCTCAAGTTACCGAGAGCAATTTAAACCCACAATAGCTTGTCCAGGATGGAAATTATAGATGTCTGATCGCAGAGCTGGAATGTCTCATCTGCAAGTTTGTCCATTTGCACCGGAACCAGGGCCATCTGAGCCTTCAGGCTGCTCCCCAGAATGACTCAGTTCTGCCAGGCTTGTCACTAATGCTGAAGCAGAACTTTGAGGCCTGAAAACTAAACTTGCCTGGAGCAGCTGCTGGGATGAACACTTGTTGCCATGGTAGCCTGGAACAAGTATACTGAGCAGTTGATTTAAGTCGTGTTCTCAACTTTTCAAAGTACACATCCTCCAGTGTATGGGGGAGGCAGCCTAATCAGAGAGGAACTGGGTGGGCAGAGAGTTGAGCTCATATCTCAAGAGTCTGCTCCTTCATTGACACAGTGTTTGTGATCTTGCTTATGGCATAGTGATAGGTAATACAGGTGTCAGGAGTAGAAGCAGAGGGGCGTGGGATTCTGATACTTGTTGGGTGATTCTGAAGATCTGGGAACAGACCTGGGGAGCCACCTGTAAAGTGCTTTTCTCCATACCCTGTCCTGCAGCTTCAGGCAGTTTGGCAGGGTATATAAGGCTCTAGAACAGGAGCTGGATTGGGTTCTTGTACACAATGTCTTTTTTTTGGTACTGGGGATTGAACTCGGGTTCTTGCGCTTGCGCAGCAGGCGGTGAAACCACTGAGCTAAATCCCCGGCCCAGGATTGGGTTCTTGATCTACATTCTCCTGGCTGTGTGGCCTTGGGCAGATATAACAATCTCTGAGCCTCTCTCTGCATCTATAAACTGTAAATACAACCTACTTTGCAAGCCTATGAGGGTTCAATGGGATTATTAATGCATTGGTGTATAGACGCCCGATCAGCAATGGAGCAGCTAAACAACAACATGGTAATAACACTATTCGAAGAATCTGAAATAAAACATCAGAGACAATAAGATGAATGATCACTGTAGGCTGAAAGCTATGTGCTGGACAAGAGGTTCTTAATCAGGCACATGTTTTATAAAACAGACATGCCTTGATCCGCTTAGTAAATGGATCTTTAAGGAATACGTTCTAAGCACATTTAGGCTCTATGGGAGGGTAAATGGTGGTCCCAAGCTATCCATGTGCTAATCCTTGGGACCAGTGAATGTTTCCATTTATGCCAAGAAGGACTTTGAAGACATAGTTAAGAATGTTGAGATGGGAAATCATCTAGGTTATTCAGGTAGGCCATAAATGTAATCACACATATCCTTAGGAGAGGGACTTTTGGCTATAAGGAGAAGAAGGCAGTGTGATGATGGAAGCAGAGCTTGGGGTGGTGCACTTTGAAGATATAGGAAGGGCTACAAGCCGTGGAATAGCAGTAGATGCTAGAAACTGAAAAGGGGAAAGAAATGTATTTTCCTCTAGGTCCTACAGAAGGAACCAGCTGCCCTGACACCTTGACTGTGGACCCCTCCTTGGTCCTTTGATCATACAGCACCTGAAGATTCATACTTTTTCTTTTTAAGAACAATAAGGATGTTTTTATTGTTAAGTATAATAATGTACTTTTTTTTTTTTTTTAGACAAGGTCTCACTAGCTCAGGCTGGCCTTGAACTCACTATGTAGCCCAGGCTGGTCTTGAACTTGTGGTGATCCTCCTTCCTCAGCCTCCCAAATGCTGGGATTACAGGCCTGTGCCACCACACCTGGCTCAAGAATGTATTCTTTAAAGGAAAATTGTTAAATTCTCCTTATAGTCTGATCATAATACATAGTTTGACTATGACTATGATACAATTTTTTATTTTATGGAGAAAAAAATTTTATAACCAAATAATAAGAGAATAACAAAAGTTATTACACTATGCATTGTTATCTTCAAAGAAGTCCTTACTTTGTAAATAAACAACTATAGCCCAAGTGCTCTGGGACAGGGCTTAATTAATAAAAAAGGATTTCCTAGCCCCCCCCCCTTTTTACTCTGCTTTCTCCTCATTTCTCCCCCGCCCCAAGAAGTTATTTCCCTGCCTCATTTCTGGCACAGCATAGCATACCCTTAGGGAATGTACCCTGATTGGTCAAAGGTGATCAAGATAAGGCCCCATTGTCTTTGCCAAGATTTATTTAGAGTTGAACATGTGATGCAGATTGTTAGAGGGAATCTGGGAGTTTCTGTCTTTCTCCTCCTTGTGTCAAAACAGCTATGTTCCAGCTATCATTTTTTCTATCTGCCTGTGAATGTAATTGTGATTCCTTGAGCTGTAGCAGCCATTTTATCACCACCAGAAAACAAACCTAAGGCTGCTCTTCTTGATGACATTATTATGTTGGCTGAATCATCCCTGGAAGCACTTGCCTCTGTATTTCATGTTTAGTGAGACATTTGGGGATCTTAATTACTAAAAGAGGAATTTTTATTTTTGCAAGTAAAAGCATCCTAACTGATTCAGGTTGGAAAAACTTCTCTTTTTAGAAGAAAGTCTATGACTATAATTTACATTGGTGAGAACATACCAAGTTACATGTAAGCTTTTCTTTGGATTAATAAACACATTTGTACAATAAAAATAAGAGTACTTTTTGCTGACAAATTTTGCTTTGGCTCTGTCTGTGTCCAAGAAGACCAGAATCTGGTTGTGTTCATCTTCAGATTCCCCCGGTACTTCTGAAAAGGAGGTGATTCGATCTCTCCTGTGATGCGGCTGACGGATCCACGGAGGGAGAACGGTGAGGGATGAAGAAAAGACAGACAAAGAGATACAAAAGCTGAGGCCAGGTGGAGCCTTCCTCCTGATGGGAGAAAAGGACTGGCTGGCAACTGCAGTGCGTGTATTTATAGTGTAGCAATAAGGGAAGTGCAGGGGGAGGTAAAAGGAGGTCCCCATGACTGGGCCAGGGAGAGCGGCTAGGGTCCGCAGGACATCGTGCTGGACGGTGTTACGACGAATGGGCGGGTAGGAAGACAGTCCTCTCCTCGCCCAGGCCTTGCTGCACCACGCCCTCTTGTCGTCCGTTCTCTGCGACCTCGGGAGGAAGAGAACAAGATGCATGTTCCTCATCCCCCCCCCCCCCCGTCCGGGGGGAGTTAGCTCTGTGGTTCTGCCGCCTGCCTCGCAAGCGCAAGGACCCCAGTTTGATCCCCCGGTACCAAAAAAAACCCCAAACAACAACAAAAAACCTCATTCCCCACGGAGCCCTGCCTCATCCTCGGGAGGAGGCGAATTAGGCCTGGGCATAGTGATCTACAGTGCAGTGCTCCCAGCAATCTTCCCTTTATTTGTCCCTTGATATTCATGGACCATTGGTTCCAGTACCCCTAGTAAATCGCCAAATCCAAAGAGGCTCAAGTCTTCTATATAAAATAGCATAGTATTGCCAGGCATGGTGGCACATGCCTATAATCCTAGCACTCTGAGAGGCTGGGGCAGAAGGATGACAAATTTAAGCCCAGCCTGGACAACTTAGCAAGAGTGGCTCAAAATAAAAAATAAATAGGGCTTGGATGTAGCTCTGTGTGAGGGCCCTGAGTTCAATTCCCAGTACTTAAAAAAAAATAGTGTTTGCATATAACATATATAATTCTCATATACTTTAATCATCTGTAGATTACTAATGACATTTAATACTATGTAAATAGTTACTATACTGTATTGTTTAGGGAGTGATAAAAGCGTCTGTATATATTCGGTACAGATGCAATTTTATCTTCAAATATTTTTGATGAAAAGTTGATTGAATCCATGGATGCAGAATCTGTGAATACTCGGTCCCCATTGCACAAAGAAGCTTGATTCAAAGCAGATGGTGTAGCCCTCTTCTCACCCACACTTAGAAATCTCCTTCTCTGATTCGGAGGCAGGATAGATACCATGAACACCAGATGCAGGAGGCGAGGGTTGTAGCCGAAGTAGGGCAGACATACTGTGATTGTGGGTAAGCAGTTTTCCTCCCTGGGCCTCAGTTTGCCACCTACAGGAGAGCCGGAGAGGACATCTATGACCTTGCTACTTAAGATGAGGTTGTTGGAAGGCTTCACCTAGGAGCTCGTAAACAACGCAGAAACTCAGGTAGTGCTCCAGACCTTTGAATTCAAGATCTGGCTTCTAACAGTCTCCCTGAAAGGTGTAAAAAGAACCAGTCTAATCCTTCCGGCTCTGCGCGAGACTGAGTCTCTGCTGAGTTTGGATGTGTGCGCCCTCTAGTGGCTAAAAGACAAAATACTTTCTTTAGGAAACAACTTCCATTTCCTTTTCTTTCTTTTTTGTTTTTTTAAAATTAATTTTATTGGTACCCTTAAGGTATTCAATATAATGACATTCATCATTGGAAATTTGCACCTTTACATAATCTCTCTTGGTTCTTATTTTTCCCCATTCCCCTGCCCTCCCTTCAACCCCTCCACCCCTCCCTATTTACAAAGACTGTTTCCATTTTTTCTTTTTCTC